GCTTAACGGCATGGAAACAGATCCTATGACTGTGCATTAGAAACGGTACTCAGGGTGACCAAGGGATGCCTGAAGATAACAGCTAAAGAGCTGGACCCCCACAAGAGAGGGGGGGTGGCAGGACACAGAGGGCTGGGAAGGCCAGGAGGGACGGCAGATGTGTGGCAGAGACAGTGAGCACTGCCCTGGAAAACAAAAGGCAAAAGAATGAGGAAAATGTAAGCACATTACAGAGAGCAAGGCATGACAGCTGTCAGACAGAGATTGGGAAAAACATCCAGCCCAAAGCAGGAAACCTGCACTATTACAACCCACCCCGGAAGCATTGGTGCCCTAAAGAGCATGTCTGGAGAGTCCGTGTTCATCTAAGCACCTGCTGTGATCTAAGCACCTACTATGTGCCAGGCACTGTAGACGTCATAGTTGATGTATCTTTTTTCCTATAAGACATTTGGAAAGGTCAGGAGGTCAAGGTCACATGTCTTTGTCACATGGAACTGGGCTTCTGAGCTGGGTTGGGGCTGAATGGGATTCCAGACAGTGTGGGAAAAGTCCAGTGAAGTATGGTATACTGTGCATGCCTTGTCAATGTTTGAGAGAGAGAGAGAGAGAGAAAGAGAGAGAGAGAGAGAGAGAGAGAGGATGGGAGGGAGGGAGGAAGGAAGGAAGGAAGGAAGGAAGGAAGGAAGGAAGAGGGGGCAATGTTGCAGGCCATCTAAAAAGGCCAAATTGTAAAACTGAATATAATTCAGTATAAATGACAGAATCCAAGGCGGGCTGTGCCATCATCACGTAGGAGCTCTGTCCCTGTGTGGGAAGACAGAAGGTGACTACTGTTTAACACCTGCTGACTCACAAGGCACCTATACTAAGCTTTTACACAAAGAGGAGCCCTTCCCTCAGTCATGACTTAATTAACAAAATAATATTTTCTTCTTATAAGTATTTTGAGGAGTTAGCAGTCCCTTAACTATTAAAATTTAAAATCACTGAGCTGGGGTGTGACTCACTGGTAGAGCTTGAAATGCTTGGTTGGTTCCCAGAACTGCTGACAATTTATACCTCCTCACATAGTTATATATGACTTTCTTAACTAATACATTTGTATTTCTGAATTCTATTAAAATATTTTTCATTTGTTGTTGTTGTGTGTGTGTGTGTGTGTGTATGTGTGTGTGTGTGTGTGTGTGTGTGTGTGTGTGTGAGTGAGCACATGTGTACATGTATATGCTGTGGTATACATGTGGAGGTCAGAGAATAACTTTCGGGAGTTGATGATCTAGGTTCTGGGGATCACACTCAGGCAGTCAGGTTTGGCAGAAAGTACCCTTACCCACTGAACCATCTTGCTGGTCCAAAACTTTGAATTTATGATAGATTAAAATCCTTATCAATGCTGGACATCAGTGATGGTGCATGTCTTTAATCCCAGCACTCAGGATGATCAATGTGATTTTGAGGCCAGCCTGGTCTATAAAGTGAGTTCCAGGACAACCAGAACTGTTACACAGAGAAACCTTATCTCAAAAAACAAAAACAAAAAGAAAAAAAAATCCTTATCAAAAGTAGGTGTGATGGAACACATCTTTTTTTTTTCTTTTTTTTTTTTTTTTTTGGTTTTTCGAGACAGGGTTTCTCTGAGTAGCTTTGCGCCTTTCCTGGGACTCACTTGGTAGCCCAGGCTGGCCTCGAACTCACAGAGATCCGCCTGGCTCTGCCTCCCGAGTGCTGGGATTAAAGGCGTGCGCCACCACCGCCCGGCTAGATGGAACACATCTTTAATCATAGCACTCAGGAGGCAGAGGCAGGTGGATCTCTGTGTCTTTGAGGTCAGTCTAGTCTACAGAGCGAGTTCCAGTTGAGCCAGAGCTATACAGTGAGACCCTGTCTGAAAAACAAAACAAAACAAAAAAAAATAACAAAACAAACAAAAATCTTTATCAACTTTTTGTAGCATGAATCTCCAAAGTTCTTATTAATAAAATCAAACCTGAGGCCAGTTATTGGGGTGAATGCTGGTAGATCAGATACAGAACAAGCCACAGCTACCTTACCTGGCCAATTCCTCAGCTGGTCCTGTTTCCTCAGACTGGAAGCCTCTGAGTCCTCATCCAGAATGAATCTCAGCTGAACTGCTGCTCCAAAGCCTGAAAGCTTAACCAGCCAAATGCTGCTAGTTTCTGGTCCTCACGCCTTATAAACCTTTCTGCTTTCTACCACCACTCCCTGGGATTAAAGGCGTGAGTCACCATGCTTGGCTGTATCCTTGAACAGATGGATTTCTGTCTCTGGAATGCTAGGATTAAAGATGTGTGCTACCACTGCCTATCCTAAGTATCTAGTGGCTTTTCTGTTCTCTGACCCCAGATAAGTTTATTAGGGTGCACAATATTTTGGGGAACACAATATCACCACAACTTTTTGTTTTATTTTTTTTTTTTTGAGACAGGGTTTCTCTGTGTAGCAGCCTTGGCTGTCCTGGAACTCACTCTGTAGACCAGGCTGGCCTCTTAGAGAGATTCGCCTGTCTCTGCCTCCCAAGTGCTGGGATTAAAGGCGTGCGCCACCACCAGCCGTCAGTCTTTATCAACTTTAAGTAAGAAGTGCTTATCGGTATTTTCTAAGCATTGCCTGAGTCACTCACTAGCTCAACAGACAAATGAAAGGAAAAGCGCTTAACGAGCCCTTTGATGATGCTCTTACATCTAGTCCTTTGGCTCATACTATTTTTGAGAACCATCGACACTGTGGCATGTGTTACGAAGTTGCTTGGGGGGACCCCGGGGGTATCCCGAGGGCATGCATGGAAACATGCTGACATGCTGCAGCGGCTGCGGCTGCGGTGGAGGGTGGACATTCACAACCCAGACACTGCATCCATGCAGAAATAAGTTTATTATAATAGAGAGATGAAGAGAAAGGGAAGGGGAGGAGAAGAGAGAGAGAGAGGAGGAAGGGGGGAGAGAGAGAGAGGTCAAGGGGTGCACACCCCGTGGGAGGAAAAGCGGAAGAGAGAGGGAGGAAGGGGAGGAGATTTTTTCTTAGAATGAAACTTAAGTCAGATGCAGGGCAAGGGGTGGGTCAGAATATTAACAGCATATATCAATGATTCATTCTCTCTGTTGTTGAAATTTGCTTATTTGTCCCTGCTTATATAGAGGCTTTGGGCTGCTTTCCAGTCTGGGGCTGTTATGAATCAAACCATTATGATTAGCTAGGCTTTGCTAGATACTCTAGCATTCTGTTCTTCTTCGGGTCCTTATGTACTAGCCGACGTGTGGGGTGAGGTAACAGCCTTTGTCCTGATGGTGTTTCTGCTGCTTCTCCTTACACTGCGGTGATCTTACAGATTCAAAAAGTGAAAAAACAAAACCAAATTAACCAGGTCAGACCTTCTGTGGTTTCGGGCGTCTCTGTTGCAGACTGACTCGTTCCAGGTTTTGGAGCTCAACTCAAATGGTGTCTTTAGGCAGGGAAACACAACCCCTGGCCACAGCTGGGTGCCCGGGATACTCAAGTCCTGCTGTTTATCCACAGAACGCTCGGCCTTACTTTCTCGTCGTTTTTAGCTTGCTGAAGCTCGTCTTCCTCACAAATGGTGTCCATGTAGGCTTCATCTGGTGGCGTTGCCCAACGCATCGTCCCACTATGGCATGTTAATCTGGCTCATTGGTTGTTCCTTTATGGTGCTGGGGATCCAATGCGTTAGGCAAGCACTTTACTGTTGAGCTACATTTCCAGCATTTTGGTTAGCTTTTTTAACTGAAAACATACTGTCTTATGAATATTTATTACAGTGAATCGCTTAACTTTTTAGTTTTTGTGTTTTGCATCTTAAGGAATAGAGAAGGCAGTAATTCTCTCCTTCGGGCTGTCTGCCTAGTTCGTGGTTTTGGTTGGTGATAATGCACTAGTGGTGTTGACTGACGTCTGGCCCTCTCTGCCATGTTACTCTGTGCACAGCTGGTGCTGTTTAGTCTTATCTGCTTTGGGGACAGTTCCTGCATTTTTGGAGCTGTTTCACTAACTTGTGGGTTTTTCATGTGAGTTCACTTATTGATGATATGGATTGTCAATGAACTGTAATGGTGTTTTACAATGGCCTTTCTGTACACTTTGTACACAGCTTTCTCTTCTGAGTATCAGGATTAAGCCCCTGAGGCTCACAGACTCATCCAGTTTCTACCTATGGGTCTTAGGCTGTGCTCACTGGAGCAGCAGCTACTTTACTTGGGAATATGCTAGAAATGGAGGTTTTTTTTGTTGGGTTTTTTGGGGGGGTCAAAACAGGGTTTCTCTGTGTAGCCCTGGTTGTTCTGGAACTTTCTCTGTAGACCAGACTGGCCTTAAACTCAGAGATCCACCTGCCTCTGCCTCCAGAGTGCTGGGGTTAAAGGTGTGCACCCCCACAGCCTGGCCCGCCTGTTCTTTTTTTGTTTGTTTGTTTGTTTGTTTTAACATTTTATCCTTTGGCCACCCAAACTTTCATGTCTCTGTGTCTTTTCCAGGACAAATTACCCCAACTGCTCTTAGTGTTTAAGAAGTTGTTAACTTAGATTACATTTTCTTCTCCAAAGGTAGTTCTTTTGGAGAGTATTTCAGGTGGAGAGACAAGGGGAGCTTTGTAGTGAGCTCCGCTCTCCCTTGCAGAGTGTGACAGAAATGGGGGTGGGGGGTGAGGGGAGGGGGGTGCGGAGGTGGGAAGTATTTGCTCCCATACTCTGGGAATTCCTGCAACCAGTCTGTTTTGTATTACTGAGAACGTATCTCTGTCTTGCTCATTTTTCATTGTAATTATATGGTCATCTTGAAATTTTCTCTGTCGGGGGATTCTGAAACAGGCTGTTGTTCCTCAGGAGGGAATTTTGCATTCTTTTCATGCAATGCAAGAAATGCCTCCTGCCCTTATCCCTGCAATGCGAGGCCAGTGCTTTACCACTGACCTACATTCCAGACCCCCCCAGTTTGGTTGCCAACGTTGTTGTTCTCTTTTGTTTTAGAGACACTGCCTGACTGTGGAGCGTAGGCTGGCCTGAAGCTCTCCTCCTGACCACCTTCACTCCTGACCGCCAGGATCGCAGGTTTACCTCACGGTACCTGGCTGCGTTCTTCTCTCTGCTTCTCTCCACACGAAATGCCGGCAGCCTGGGTCCTGTGTGTGCGTTTAATCGTTTCTGTTCATGTGCGTGCCTGTGTCAGGAATGTCTGTGGCGATTATTTATTCATTCAGGGAGGCAGCTAAAGTGACTACAGCTGTGATGAAACACCATGGGGAGGAAAGGGTTTATTGGGCTTTCACTTCCACAGCCATGGTCCATCACTGAAGGAAGTCAGGACAGGAACTCACACAGGGCAGGAGCTGATGCAGAGCCCATGAAGAGGTGCTGCTTACTTACTGCCTTGTTCCCCATGGCCTGCTCAGCCTGCTTCCTTAGAGCACCCAATTACACCTGGCCAACGATGGCCCCACCCACAATGACTGGGCCCTCCTCCATCAATCCCTAATTAAGAAAATGCCCTACAACTGAATCTCATGGAGGCATTTTCTCAGTTGAGGTTCCCTTCTTTCAACTAACTCTAGCTTTATGTCAAGTTGACATAAATCTAGCCAGGGCATTCAACAAATGAAAATTTAGATTTTTTTTTAAAGGTTTATTTATTTATTATGTATACAGTCGACTGCAGGCCAGAAGAGGGCACCAGATCTCATTACAGATGGTTGTGAGCCACCATGTGGGTGCTGGGAATTGAACTCAGGACCTCTGGAAGAACAGTCAGTGCTCTTATTCTCTGAGCCATCTCTCCAGCCGGAAAATTTAGTATTTTTTAATGGGCCAGACAAAATATAAAAATACTACACACACACACACACACACACACACACACACACACACAGCTGGTTTGGATTGCAAATAATATGCTGCTTCATTTCTGCCACTTGAAATTCCTTTTTCCCTCTGTGGTATGAGGATGCTACCCCAGGAATAGTACCCCTTTGAGGCTTCAGGGGTCTGCCTTCTTGTCAGGAGTTTTATTTGTGACTGAACCACTAAGAAATCCCTCACCTGTAGTTCGGTGAGGTTGGTGGAACTCTGGATGGGCTGGAATTGTAGATACGGTGAGGTGGGAACAGCTGGAGAGAGCAAGGAAGTTGGACAGATCCTGTGTGGGGGCTAGACTCCTGGGGACAGCTCTTTTCCTTGTGTTTCCCAGAGGGTAGCAGCAGAAAGTTGGAGAGTCCGCCTCCTGGGTATCTCCAGTTTGAAAGCTGCCTGAGAAGTGCTGAGTGTTTCTTTGGTGACACACAGCTATAACATGGGCATGCAGAAGGCTGGGATGGAAGGATGTGAGTTTGAAGGCAGCCTTACATAGCAAGACAACCACTAAAAAAATAAATAGCCACAAACCTGCCGTATGATCCAGTCTTTCCACCCTTTGATGTACTCACGAGCAGATACAGCTGCCCTCACTTGCGTACTGGATTTATTTATAATAGATTGGACGAGGAGCAACCCAAATACCCATCCACAAATGAATAAGTAAATCATTGTAGATCCATATAGTGGAATAATACCCAGCACTGAAAATAATACACAGCAACATGGATAAGTCTTACCATATGTTTGATTCCACTTATATAATTAATTGAAAGTGATAAAGTGAATGGGGGGGTGCAGGGGGTGTTGATTCCGGGGATGAAGGAGGTTAAGAAGCAATCATAACAGGGCAGGAAATAAAACCTCTGTGTGGAGTGCTAGAGAGGTCCCCAGGTATCCACAAAGATGACTCCACTGTAGACTACTGGTAATGGTCGAGAGGGTGCCTGAGCTGACCTACTCTGGTGATTGGATGGCTGAACACCCTAATTGTCATGACTGAACCCTCATCCAGTGACTGATGGAAGCAGATGCAGAGATCCACGGCCCAGCCCCAGGCAGAACTCCAGGAGTCCAATCGGTGAGAGAGAGAGAGAGAGAGAGAGAGAGAGAGAGAGAGAGAGAGAGAGAGAGGGATTATATGAGCAAGAGATATTGAGACCATGATTGGAAAAAGTACAGAGACAACTAGCCAAACTAGCGGGAACACATGAACTGTGAACCAATAGCTGAGGAGACCCCAACTGGACCAGGCCCTCTGGATAAGTGAGACAGTTGTTGAGCTTGAACTGTTTGGGAGGCCCCCAGGCAGTGAGACCTGGCCTGTCCTTAGTGCATGAGCCGGCTTTTTGGAACCTAGGGCCTATGGTGAGACACTTTGTACAGCCTTGGTGCAGGGAGGAGGGGCTTGGACCTGCCTCAACTGAATGTACCAGGCTCTGCTGACTCCCCAGGGGAGACCTTGCCTTGGAGGAGATGGGAATGAGGGGTGGGTTGGGGAGGAAGGCTGGGAGGTGGGAGGAGGGAGGACAGGGGAATCTGTGGTTGATATGTAAAACGAATAAAAAACCTCTTAATAAAAAAGAAAAGAAAAAAAACCCTCTGTGTGTGCGTCTATGTTCAATATCTTGAGAATGGATGCTAACCTTTGTCAAATTTGGACCCTCTAAATTTGTGCAGCTAATTGTATGTAAATTTTATTGAGAGACACTTGTGAAAAAAAAATCACAGTGATGTCTTTTTCTGTCTTTAAAAGTTCTCTTGTGGTGGGCATAGTGGTGAATCCAGCACTTGGGGCGTGGCAGCTAGAGAAATGTGAGTTCAAGACCAGCCTGGACTGAGAGCAATACCTGGCCTTAAAACCAAACTGATAGGGCTAGGGGGAGCTCAGTGGTAGGCTCCAAGCATGCACAAGTATTACAGCCTGTGGAGACCAAGCTCCAAGGCTGCTGAACTGGGCTCAAAGAGAAAGCCGCAGCATAGTGAGACTTAGGACTTTTATCTGAGGGCCTTTTTTTTTTTTTTTTTCCTGGTTTTTCGAGACTCCTGGAACTCACTCTGTAGCTGGAACTCACAGAGATCTGCCTGCCTCTTGCCTCCTGAGTGGCGGGATTAAAGGCCTGTGCCACCACTGCCTGGCTGAGGTCCTTTTTTTTTTTTAAGGAAGTGAATGAGTTCACACACATTCTGCTGGTTACTTTCTTTATTCTCTCATGTTGGCTTCTCTTTATCCCTTTGTCCTCACAGCTATACCCAACAGAGTCTTACAGGAAAAATAGAAGTTACATTTGAAGGTCACATTTCACGTGAGAAGAAATAGAGTCACCCTGACAATTCACGTGCAATAAGTCTCAAGTTGCTAATTGGTGGGGCTGTAATTTGCAGTTGCAGCTGCAAAGAAAGAACCAGTCATTTCGTTATCTCACTAAAGAGATAATCTTATAAAGGGTTTTAAGGGAGTTTTATAAAACTAAACTGCTGAAGAGTCTAAGCAAAACAAGGAGGCCATGCACTGTATTTTAAACAAGCCTTTCGTGATTAACCATCATAGAAATGTCGGGCTCTCTCGGACTTGAATTGTTTACAGGTAGAGCTGTGTCACCAGGGAGAGTGCAGGCTGTAGCAGCAGGTGCAGGCTGAGGGGCCCCCTGGTGCTCAAGGGGGAGAGGGGGGATGGATGGGGGCGCTGCTGGGGGGGAGGGAGTGGGAGAGATTGGGGAGTGCAGCTCACTTGGCACTCTTCAAGGAACAGTGACACTAAAAGCATTTTAAATCTTAAAATGTATTTTTCTGTCCTGCCTCTAACTTTAGACCCTAAGAAAGAAAACTTGCAACTCTTTCTCGGGGCTATGAAGTCGTATTATACTCTGTAGCCCTGGCCAACTGGAAAAGTTTTCTCTGCATGTCTCTGAATGAAAGCTGTTTGTCCCTAGATAGACCTCTGTTAATTTCTTTTGTCACTTGTGTAATTTCAGGATCCAACATAAAGAACAGTTAATTGGCTGGACTTTGAGTTTTCAGGTTAGATGCCCGCATTATAAAACTGAGGTTAGGAATTTGTGCAGAGAGTTCATCGCTGTCCTAGATAATCAACCAGACCTAGGAGAGAAGCTGGCACCACGATGAAGTTGCTTTGCACCTTTAACCTTGGTTCAGCAAATCAGACAGCTGGCTTTACGTCCTTGTGAACCGGACTGCATTTGCCAGATGCAGTTTATCTTAAAAACTGCTAGCAAGGCACCTGGTCTTATCTAAAGTTTCTTTAAGTTTTAAATAAGCTAATGGTATTCAGTTGTCTTGATGGCTGGGGAGATTCAACTATTTTTTTTTTTTTATGGCAACCTGAGCTGTGATATAAAACAGGTCTTAAGCATCTCACAGCCCTCGTGGAACGATAGGCCTAGTATTAAGGAGAGATTGTCTTCCTGACAACCCACAGATACAAATGTGCCCAGTAGATGGAATATACTCATGAGATAAACACACTACAATACTGGCAGTGGGGGACTTCCCATAGCCTCTAGGGGAAATTTGCACTAGCACATGAGAAATTACAGACAGAAGTAAACGATATTCCAGAGTCTGTAGCCCCGTGGCCATGCCTAACGACGTTTCCCACTGGAGAATTATCTTTCTGATGGGCTGACACCTTGGATATTAATTGCCATCTGCTGTTCTATGCCATGGCTCTTGCCACACAAGGCCCTGGGTTTGGTATCCAGCACTATAAAAAAGATACCTCCCCCATAAAACCGGCAAACACAGAAAAGGGTCCCTTGCCTTTTCTGCCATGCTCAAGGAGTGGCTTACCCTCTGGAGTACTTTCCTTAATTTCATTCCCTGTTTGTCACGAATCACTGGTGAGCCCTGCCAGAGAGCAGGTGCGACGCTGGAGTTAGGGAGGCAATGAGGGCGGTCACCCGGGTCGTGGGAAGGATGCACTGGGGGGTGAACTGATGTGGAGCTGAGCACTGACTCCATTAACTGGGTCACATGGGGAGGATGCCATCAGGACTGGTTTTGCACTTGTAAAAGAAAGGTCCTAGCCGGGTGGTGGTGGCGCACACCTTCAATCCCAGCACTAGGGAGGCAGAGCCAGGCGGATCTCTGTGAGTTCGAGGCCAGCCTGGTCTACAGAATGAGATCCAGGACAGGCACCAAAACCACACAGAGAAACCCTGTCTGGAAGGGGAAAAAAAAAGGTCCTAATACTAACTTCATGAGTTTGTCACCAGGACCCAACAGTCTGTATGATATGTATCAGGGGCTAGGACTATTTCGAAAGACTGTCAGGGACACCAGCTTGACATAAAAAGCCTCGGGCTTTCCTGGAATTTTATGAGGATAATTAGAGAAGTGTTGTTGGTGGCTTGAAGACTGTATTTGATAGTTCATGGTGAAGGGTGTACTTACTCTTGGAAGGGAAGCAGAGTGGTGCAAGGGTGCTTAGATCCCCAAGGTGAGGGAAAGTAATGCACAGTTGCTCCTACTTTCAAAATACCATTGTGTATGTTCTACCCAGTCAAGTGCATACTAGTTCTTCGTCCAGTGGGGTTCTTGTATACCCTAAGCATTAAACACCCAAGTGGAGACACAACATTCCCTGGAGGTTCTCTTGGTCCCCTTTTCATTGTGATGTGCTACCCCTGCAGGTCTGACTCAGAGCTCCACTGATTATTTTTTGTCTGTATTTGAACTTAGATTCGTGGAGATGCAGCCATATGGTACTGTTGGCTTTCTAGCTACTGCTGGAACAAGTGACCACCAAAATACATACCTTACAGCTTTTGTGTTAGAATTCCAATAAGGAGGTAGGTATGGTGATAGACTCCTGAAATCCCAGCACTCAGGAGGTAGAAGGAAGAAGCCTGTGAGTCCCAGCCAGCACTAGGAAAGAAACAAAACAAAACTGTTGAAGAAATCCATCAAAGGTTTGATGGGCTGAAGTCAATGTGTTGGCAAGGTTGTGTTCTTTTCTGGATCCCTAACAGGAAATCTATCCCCTTGTTTTTCTAACTAGAGACACCCTGCCCAACCCCCAACATTTCTTGGCCTATGGCTCCTTCTCCAGTCTTCGAAACTAGCAATGACACACCCCTGGTTCCTATTCTCTGCATCTACATGCTCCCTCAGGCATGGCCAAGAAAGGTTCTCTGCTGCTAAAGGTTCATGTTATCAGACTGGGCCCTGTACGGCTTCAGTGTGCTGTTCCCCATAGACTCATGTATTGGGATCTGTGTTCCTTGTGTGGTGATGTTGGAATGTGGTGTGATCTCTAAGAAGTGAGATTTGGTTGGATGTAGTTAGGTCACTGGGGAACCCTGTCCTAGGAAGGGAGTAATGTAGTTCTCTGGTAACTCTGGTCCCCAAGATGAACTGATACACACACACACACACACACACACACACACACACACACACACACACACACACCAGCCTGCATTTTACTGGCTTTTTGTCTCTCCATGTGATCTTTCCCTTTTGAATATGTTCCCACCACAATGCTGTCTGCATGGTATGATATCGCCAAGGACCCTCATCAGAGGTGGCAACTATGAAGCTGGCCAATGTTGGACTTCAAGCTTCCAAAACTGTGAGTGGAATGCCTACCTTTTACTTGTAAGGTACCCAGAGCCAGGTTACAGCCACAGAAAATGAACCAAAGCTGGGACTTGCACAAGCACTCTGCCACCGAACTACATCTCAAACTAGTTTTCACCATTGTAGCTCTATATCAAGTCTCGACCCCTTATCTTCTCTAATATGGCTTTCGTTAATGGAAGTCAATGCGGGGCTCATGTCACCAGCATGGGTCAAACAGTGTCCTACTCTCGGATTTGCTCAAGTACCTATGGATGCGACCTACTTGGAAACAGGGTCTTTTGGAGACAAGATGGAGTTGGGGTAAAGTCATCCATCCTAAGTTAGGACAAGCCTAATCCACATAAGGCAACAGTTGCTACCCTTGAAAGAAGAGAAGACACCGAAGCAGACGTACAGGGGAGATCATATGACAACCAGAAGACCAGGGTGACACATCACCAAGCATGAGACACTGAGGATGGCCTGCACACACTCAGGAACCAAGCAGAGGCATGGAGCAGATCCTCCCTGAGGGCTCCAGAATAAGTCAGCCCAGGCAGCGTGTGATCCCACGTTTCCCATCTTCAGGGCTCTGGAGAGAATACATTCCTGTTGTTCTGAGTCATCACCTGACGGCAGCTTAGCTCTGGACAGATGGACAGATACTGAAACATGACCCCAGCTAGCCTAAGGAGGAAGGAAAATCTGCTCTTAGATTTACAGCAGCAGCATTGAGGAGGCTCGGATGGTATTCATTTGATGCAGGAAGTATGAAGAGTAAAGTTCAACAGTATGGGCCAACACTCACTCCCCATAGGAGCTTACACAAGACCGCCATTTCTCTTTACTCATTTATTTTTGGTGGTTTTGAGCATCGAACCCAGAACCTCATACACTTGTCCACTGAGCGACATCTCCAGTCCCTGATGTTTTATTTTATCTTTATCTCCTGTAGATGTTGGTTACACAGGGTTGGTTGATGTAGCCGCTTTATGACACCCAAGACATTTTTTTTTTAAATGTTTCTCTTGCCATTCTGGGAAAGTGACTTCTACCTCACGGCTAAAACGGAGCTGTATGGCTGCCTGTTATACAGAAGAGAAAGAGAAGTGAGGGAGACTTACCCAGGAGGCCACATGGGCTAGCTCTGCCTGCTGTCCAAAACTTAGTCACATCACCCATCTTAACTCAAGATACTGGTAACATGCTATTTCAGGAATGCATGAGTCCACCAATTTATTTACAGTAACAACTAGAAGCTTCTTCCATAGAGTGTCTGTGGAGGACTGTCAAGAGCAGAAGTCCTATGGATAATTGAATATAAGACATTTGAGAGGACGAAAATCAGTTCTGAAAGTAATAAAAAAAAATTAAAGAATTATAGTTAGACTCTCTAGGGAGGAGAGTGAGATGGCCGAGAGAAAATTATGAGTGAGAAGAAAGGATCCAGGGCAGACAGGTAGGGGGCTGGAGGTCAATCATAATAATAAAATCCTCCAGGTTTCGGAAGGATGACGCTCTTGGGCGACGCTCTGGACAAGTTCCAAGTGGTGAGTGGTGAGCAGTGTGTAGTGAGGAGGCTGCTGTGGTCTGTCTGTGACAGATCTTGGGGTCTGAACACGGCAGACTAACTGCAGATTTGATCCTGTCAAGCATGGGTGCCTTTCTGAGCTGACCAGAATAGAGTGCTCCCAGATGCAATTAGGGACTGTCAGGGGGCTTGAGGTGGGACAGTTTCTTCCCCTCTCCTTCCTTGTGTCTTGGAAGGATATAGCAAGCCCTCACCAGGGAGCACTGGTCTTGGGCATCCTAGCTTTCAGAAAAGTGAGAAAGAGATTTCTGTGGTTTACAAATTACCCAGATATTTTGTTATATGACAGCAAAGTAGACAAGGGCAAGACTAGTTAAGATAAAGAACAGGTCTTGTGCCGGGCAGCGATGGCCCACGCCTTTAATCCCAGCACTCGGGAGTCAGAGCCAGGCAGATCTCTGTGAGTTCAAGGCCAGCCTGGTCTACAGAGTGAGATCCAGAGATCCAGAGATCCAGGACAGGCACCAATACTACACAGAGAAACCCTGTCTCAAAAACCCGAAAACAAAAAAAAAGATTAAAGAACAGGTCTTTACAGCATAAGGAGTCCTGATTTTCCTATTGCAAATCAAAGGCGACATCAAGTCTTTTTCTTGAGGTCATTGTGTCCCGTGACAGCATGACTTTCTGAAACTTGGAAGTTAGGTAACTCTCAGTGTGAGGAGGTAAAGGATACAGCTCCCCACCCCTCCGGAGGGACAAGTTCACACATGAACACTGAGGTCATTTCTGATCTCTGTCACCACTGTCAGGTGGCTGAGGGCCATAAAAGGCCCTAGGATAGGATACGGAGCCCAGCCCGAAGGCTCTGGGGATAAAGGTTTAAACCTTTACCTGGTTCTAGGGAAGAAAACAAGATCAACCCATGGGCAGAATCACATGTAAGCACTGAGATGTGTACAGGGACAGACTGGGAGCAACCCAGTGGCCCACCCGCTGGATGATGGACAGATAAACTGTGCTCCGGGTATTATTCAAATAATAAATTCTGGTACTAGCTTTCCAAATATGAAGAAATCCATAGCAACAAAAAAAAATCTTTTTGTAGTTGTATCTCATTTTTTTTTTTTTTTTTTTAAGTTCAAAAAGAGCTCTCCTGCTCTCCTGGCATGTCCCTGGCATCTTTTTGGCTGCAGCTCCCAGATTGGCTGCTGCTGTTAGCTCAGGGCAGGAGCAGTGGGTGCCATGGGCAAATCAGACAGAATACTTTTGGGGAGAGAAGAAGGGGTGTGGAGTGTGTGGGGAGGGCTCGTGAAAGGAAGTGGCTTGTCTGTGGCTTCTGGGACCTGGGTTATCTGCTCCAGGGTTTGGTGGCTCCCTGAGCTGCTTAGTTCTCCTCCACCCAAGGGAGGCCGGGTGTGGCTAGCCTCCAAGTGCCTTGAAAAGGAGACTGGCCTGCCTTCTATTAATCCGCTGATGGGCAGGCAAGCTACTTAGCTGCCCGTGTCTCGGTTTTCTCACTGCAAACCAGTGACAGTGATTATACCCTTCAGGGTGGGGGTGAGTCCTGGTGCTGGGCCACATCCTGACACCTAGGAGGGCTGGAGTCACCAGGGGGAAGACAGCCTCATACAATACTGTCTAAAGATTCTGTGATGAAGGCTACTAACCGCTTAAAAGTGTCCAGTGTAACCGAGGGACTGAACATTTTTATTTTATTCAATTTTAATTGTTTTATATTTACTTATGAAAAAGATTTGTCTGTTTGTTTATTTGCAGTTCTGAGGAGGATTGGCCCCTCAAACCCAGGGCTGGCCCATGCTAGGCAAGCACTTTATCACTCAGTCGTAGTGCCAGCTGCCACCAGCTCCTTGCTTTACATTTAATTAACTTAGTGTGTGTGCACTTGCGTATACATGCGCGTATAGCACGTGCAGGTATACACACAGGTGGTTTTTGCTCCAGCCTTTGCCTCTCAGGGCTGGGATCACAAGTGGGTGGCTATCCAGGCATCGTCATCATCATCTTCATCATCATTATGATTACTATTATTATTTGGTTTTTCAAGACAGGGTTTCTCTGTGTAATAGCTCTAGCTGTCCTGGACCTCACTTTGTAAACCAGACTGGCCTCAAACGCACAGAAACCCACCTGCCTCTGCCTTCCAAGTGCTGAGATTAAAGGTGTGCACCACCACGGCTTTCCATTTTAATGTGGGTTTTGTAGTTTGCACTCGGGTCTTTATGCTTGCCCAGTAAGGAGTTTACAGACAGGATTATGCTGTGTAGTTCACACGTTGCCATCCTCATAACCTCCATTCTCTTGCCTCAGACTCCCTTTCTACCATCATCCTTGGGTCTGGAACCGCAGGCACAGGCCACATAGGCCTCTTACTTTGCTTTTAAATAGCTCTCTGTGGCAAAGAGCAATTGGTCACCCTATTTGCCAACACAAGACCTGAGGCAGGAATTATACCGGGCCGTGCTAGGCGTGGACGGATGGCTCATTCATGGGGACCAAGTCCGGAATCCATCCATCCATCCATGATGTGCTTTCCTCCTGTAGCTCAGGACCCTGAGATCACCTCAGCCCACGGCCCTCAGCGGTCCACTGTGTCCACACACAATCTTGTAAATCCCTTGAGAAAATCGGGCGGGGACCCTGCCCTCGTACAACCTACTGAGGCCCTCGGTTCCTTTATTTTTGTAGCAAGCAAGGAGGCTCTGCATTTGCAGTTCCGTTTCATAGATAAGGAAACTGTGGGTCCAAAAGGCTCGGCGGGAAGCAGGATAAACTCTTGGGGAACTCTGAGGCCAGCAATGACACTTTCGTGGGTCAGGTTGTCAGGGTGGCGGGGGGAAAGCGGCGGGTAAATATTTGGGGCGGTAACCCGGGCTCCGGGGCGACACAAGTCGTCACTGCGGTTCTGGGTCGGCGGGCGCGTGGCGAGGGCGGTGCCGGGGTAGGGGATGGGGGGGGGGAGGACAGGGGCGTCCCCTAGGTCGTCTGGGACAGACTCGGCGGCCCCGCCCCGCCCCGCCCCCGCCCGGGGCTATAAGACGGTGCGGCTGGCGGCTGGCGGCGCAAGCGAGGAGCCAGCTCTCGGCCAGGCTAAGGAGTGAGGCAGTGCGACCCGAGCGGACTGCAGGGCAAGGCGGCAGCCAGCCACCAGGGCCAGCGTCTCGCAGCATCTCTGCCACGCGTGTCGGCAAGCGACTGCTCCATGAAGCCGCCCTCGACCCAGGGCAGCCCAGCGGCGGTGGCGGCCGCAGGTGAGTGCCGGGTTGGGGTGCCCCCCTCCATCTCTACGCCCCAGGATCGAAGCCAGGGACTCTGTCCACGCTAAACTACACCCCGAGTCCCGGGGCCCCTGAGAACCTGAGCCTGCAGGTAGGGGCGAGAGAACAGGGGTCGCGATGGTCCCTTTCCACTGCCCACCCTTCCGTTCTCCGCTCCCCCATCTCCGGGGCGCACGGCCGGCGCCAGCTCAGTCTGGTTTCCCATTCGGGACAAGGATCTGAGCCTGACACGTAACGGGTGCTGTCTGACTCAGACTTCCCTCCGCCACTCGCTGCAGGGAGTGAGCGTGGGCACAAGTAGGAAAGCGCGTGGGGTGGGCTAGGTGACTTCCAGACTTTCAGTTCCACCCACGGAGGCGGCTGCTCCCCTGGTGACAGGCGCTTTGGAGGGTGGTTGAGAGGTTCCGAGGTAACTGCGCGGCTGCCACTGGCAAACTCAAAGAGTGAAGTTAGCCATCCTAGTCCGGTGACCGCCTCTCCATCCAGATCCTCCCGGGCAGGGGCAGAGTCACCCCTACCCACGCTCCCATCATCTGAGCTCCCTGTGCCCGCCCCCAGCCCCGGCCATGGACTCAGCGGCCGCTGCAGACCTGACGGACGTGCTGTGCGAGTTCGACGCGGTGCTGGCCGACTTCGCATCGCCCTTCCACGCCCGCCACTTCCACTACGAGGAGCACCTCGAACGCATGAAGCGGCGCAGCAGCGCCAGCGTCAGTGACAGCAGCGGCTTCAGCGACTCAGAGAGTAAGTGAGGCCCGGTTGAAGTCAGTGACCCCAGGGCTCTGGCTTCTTCCTAGGGCTCTAGTGTCAGCTGAGTTAATCTGTAAACTGAGGCACGGTGTCCGGGGGAAACTCAGACCCGAGGCCCTGCACCAGCTCTAAGATGCTTGGAAAGTTGACTTTCTGAGATTTAAGCCCAAGGTGTACAGGGGCCATGAAGGCAATCTTGGGAGGGACTGTGGGTCTCCCTGTCACGGCAGGTGTCTGCCATGAGGCCTGAAGGTTTGTGCAGTCAGTAAGAACTCCTGGGACCCCAGCTGGCTCTTCCAACAGTTTCCCTGCTTTTCTCCCTGCTCTGCATTTTTTAAATTTTATTGAGACTCTCCCAAGGAGATCTACGTAGTTGAGGACGACCTTGGACTTCTGATCCTCCTTCCTTGGGCTTCAGGAGGTGTTGGGATCAGAGGAGTGCCAGCCAGCCCGTTCCGTGTAGGCAGTGCTGGGGGTCAGACCTAGGGTTCCATGCACCTAGGTCAGCACTAAACCAACAGCGCCCTCCCTTTCCTTTTCCAGAATGGGTGCGCGGGGGACTTGGGGACACGAGTGAGCACAATAATGAAACATGTGTGAAACCAAAATGATTTCATAAGCTGCTGTTTTGGGAATTTTTGAAATAACTTCATTCACTTTCTTCTGAACTCCCAGGCTGTGTCGCCACTCCAGGCAATTTTGAAACAATCCTCCCCCTGAGCTGCTGAGTTCAAGTACTGGGTTTCAGGCAGGCCCACCCTCCAGGTTGCCAGCAGAGAGGTTCTTCCTGGTAACCTTTCCCACGATGCTTTGAATCCTAACAACCTTGGTAGAAAGAAAAGGAGGGGGAGGGGGAGTGAGGGGGGTTTCAATAACTCAAGTGACCTGCAAGATTCTGGAGATCTGTTTAGTTGTCGAACAGTGTTATTTAGTGACTTCTTATTACAATTGTCTTTCAAATCCTGGCTTGCTCACTGTTTTCCGGTGTGAATTTTCAATTCCGTTTGTTCGTGAGCACTCACTCCCTCGACAGGCTGCAGGCACAGACATCACCCACAGTGCAGTCCCTCATTTCGGAGTAAAAGACATGTTGCTGTTGTGAATTCTAGAGAGTTCTTCCTTGTGGCTGGGTGAAGATCAGTGTGAGATCTGCACCTGAGCTGTCCTCCTGGGAAGGGATAAGGGCTAACGTCCTGGTCAGGGTTTGAGTCACCCTGAGCTCTCTCTGGATTTTCCATAGCTGCCTGCACAGACCGAGGTGTGACTTGGTGTGACTTAGGAGGTGGGGGGTGAGGGTGGGCGGGGAATGGAAGAGGGCGGGGTCAGCTGTTTGTTTCCATTTACAACTTTTGCATTCTGATGCTAATGACCTGACTGCTTATTCCCAGCATTCCAAGCGAAGCCTTGCATTGGAAATTTGTCTCAATACCTGGCATAACTTGAATATTATCTCCTTCCATTGGGTTGGTGGGCAAGTTATCCATCATGTATAAATTCTCTTCTCCACAGAAGAAAAGACTGGGTCTGTCACTGCTGCTCTGTGGCCAAGGGCAGCTCCTTACAACACCAAAGCCTCCTGCTGGACTAGGGTCTGACCTTGTGCAGTTATGGCGGACAGCATCAATATGTTCTGCCAGGAGGGATTCCAGATCTAGGATGTGTTTTTAGGAGTCTTAGAAAGAGAATTCACTAGAGACAGTTTCTTAATAGTTTGGGAGATAGTTGATAGAATTTGTTGTTTTTCTTAGGGTATCTCTCTGCGTATTTCACTTTCTGCTTTTGTTGTTAACCTTCAACTGTTAGTGTGATGGTTGGAGAAGTAATGGGAAGGAACTAAGAAAGCCCGATGACCTTGGTCTTTGCTGTCATTGTGGTGGGTTGTTCCCTGCTCAGAAATAGTCTTGGCAGGATTTGTGTGTATCTAAATAATGCTTTCTTAAGGACACACAATACATATGTCTTACTTGTCTCCAGAAATGGATTGCAGACATTTGTTACATTTCATTTATCTGTTTGGAGGAAGAGAATGCCTGGGAGAGGCACAGCCCACTGAAACATCACTCCAGAGAGGGCCAGCCAGGTTTATAATGGTGGCAGCGGCAGGTAGCTCACTTCTACCAAGCCCTCTCGAGGGTTGCTATAATCATAACTTGCTTGCTCTTGACTTCAGTCATCTCTTGCTGGTCTTTGAATGTTATCTATCACACATAATCTTTGCCACAGTCCTCCAGGTTAGGCACTTTTCTCTTCGTTCATCTCTTTGATAAAATAACAGAACACAGGCTGGCCTTCTATGGTCTTGCTCCGTCATCACAGGTGGTCGGCTAGAATGTGAACCAGAGTCTGGGAGTATCCTGGGGCTCCACTGTGCTCAGATCACGTGTCTTTGGATACATGGTATTGCAGGTCCTTTTCAAGGCTTTCAGGATCAAAGGTCAGTGGGCATCAGTGATGAATATGCCTGATTTTTTTTTTTAATTTTTAAATGCCTGATTTTTGAAAAAGACCTTTCCCCTCATTAAAAAAATTAGGTTTCACAGGCAGATCTCTGTGAGTTCGAGGACAGCCTGGTCTACAGAGTGAGTTCCAGGACAGGCTTCAAAGCTACACAGAGAAACTCTGTCACACACACACAAAAAAAAACCCACAAAAATTAGGTTACAGGAATGGAGAGATGGCACAGGGGTTAAAAATAGGATCAGACTTCAGTTCCTAGCACCCATGTGGGGCAGCTCACAGCTGCCAGGAACTCCAGTTCCAGGGGGATCTGACACCTTCTGCCTCCAAGGGCACCTGTGCTCACATGCGCAGACACATACATTCACATCAGCAATAAGTGGAAATGATTTTAAAAGGGGCTGGGTCTTTCCCACAGCACTCTATTAAGAACAGTTTTTAAGTGTCTCAATAAAAGGGCAATGCAGTTGGGAGCTAGGAAAGTGATTTTCAGGCTGGACCCTTTGAGGTGCTGTAGAAACTGAACATCCTTGGTTGTTTTTTGTTTTTAGAATCTCTCTCTCTCTCTCTCTCTCTCTCTCTCTCTCTCTCTCTCTCTCTCTCTCTCTGTGTGTGTGTGTGTGTGTGTGTGTGTGTGTGTGTATGTGTGTGTATAATTTTATTTACTTAGGTTCTTTCAAGACAAAGTCTTACTATGTACCCCTGGCTGTTCTGGAACTCACTATATAGACCAGGCTGGGCTTTAGACTCTCAGAGATGCTCTTGGTTCTGTCTCCCAAGTTCTGGAATTAAAGGTGTGTGCCATTATGCCCAGCTCTTTTTCAGTAATTTTTGTTTTTAACTTTGAAAGTACAACGTAAGTCTTTAAGTGGGTTTAATAAAAATTTTCACTCCTTATATTCCAAATTTTAACCTGTGTGTCAATGTATGCATCTACTGGTTGACTTCATAAACAGTTTATTATATTGACTTAAGCTTTGAAAGATGGAACCGAGTGTGATTCTTATATATTAGAGTTTCACAAACATTTATCCTTTGAGAGTGAAAGTGTTCTGCTGTTTAATAGGAAAGGCCTGAGGTCTACTGTGCATGCTGTGGCTATGATGATATTGTAGATATTTGGGGAGAATAAGGAACTAGGTCCTTTACCATAGCAAGACTTAGAACCTCCAAATGTTTTTGCTTATATTCTGGTCTGGCCCTGAAAGAGGAGACTTCAGGAACTCTAGAAACCAGAGTGACAGTTAACCAAACCAGTGATTAATGGAGCTGAGGAGCCGAGAGCTTGATCTTGTCAGGATGTGAGAGGCTGAGGCTAGGTAGGAGACCTCCGGACACCTGGTACCATGTTAGGAGCCGAGTGAGTGGCAGCTGTTATACTCCAATACCTGGCAAACTTTCTTAGAGGGTCAGGGCCACTCCAGAGGGGAGCTGGGCACAATGATCAAACTGAGAGCCAGGACTCCACCCCCCCCACCCCCCCACCCCCCGTGCCACTCTTCTCTGAAGCTGTCAGAATTTAGATTTGGAGGAGAAGAGAGACCTCATCCCTGCCATTCCCTGTGGGAACAGTGACACAGACCCGGGACTTTTTTTTTTTTCTTGGTAATGACTATAGTTCGCTTGCTGCAGATGTGTGGGATGGTTCTATATTTACAGGCACTCTGGGAAAGGCTCACTGTTTGTGGTTTTACTTTTCTCGGGAGTAGCGCATGTCAGTTCTAACCCTAAATTACCTTTCTCCCAGCCCCCCAAATTAAAATTGTATATATATATATATATGCCTTTCTTTTAAACAAAGCTTCTGTTGTGGAGTTTCTTATGCTTGATGGGCATACCTAAACTTAGGACATTGTGTCTGTAATATGCTTTTATTTCTTTTGATGGTCCCTTAGGACACTCAGTCCCAGATCTGAGACTTGAATGCATTAAATGGACCAGGAATTTAAAAGGACATTTATAGTGGGGATTTGATACTACTGAGGAGGTGGGGCTTCAAGGCAGTCTGAAGGAGATGTTTTAAGGTCCACTTCACACATAGGAAGGTCCCCCAAGTCATCACTGCTGAGTCCTTTGATCCTACTAATTAGTAACAATACCATATAACAGGGTGGGGTAGCAATACATACACACATATATGTGCTATCAGCCAGAGACACACTGCTGGCACTTTATCAGACTGGCTGAATCTTATTTTTGCAAGAACTAGGGTTCTAAGGGAGCGACCCGAACAAGAGTTTGGGCCTTGCTTACCTAGTCATCTACCACAACCTCTAGCATAAGATTCTGTTCAGGCAGGCTCTCAATAAAAGCCTGTGGGGGCAAATATTGGGTAAAGAAGTTTAGAGTTTGAGTATTTCCGAGTTACGGATTTGTTCATGGTCACCTCTGAAGAGAAACTTAAAAAAAAATTTTGTTACAATCCGAAAACATGGGAAGCCAGGGCTAGGAATCTTGATTGTTTTCTTCCCAGTGATAATGCCCTCCATTCTGTACATGCTGTTCTCTATTTTGCTAGGAACTTGAAAATCAACCCATTATGAAGCCACAGGCATCCTACACAGAATGCCTAGGTTGTTATTGTTTTCCTGTGGCCTCTGCTCCCCCCCCCCCCCCCACAGGGGCCTAGCTTCAGGGACTTGGGACCTGGGTTTCTCTTTCCTTTGTGCTCCAGCCCCCAGTAATTGCCATGAGTAAATTATTGCCACAGGGGGATCCAGGCAGGGCAACTTGGTCCAAGATCCTGGGAGTTCATTTCTTCTTCATAGTTGAAGGTCAAGCACACCAGAGTCTGGAGTTGGCCTAGGGTGTGTGAAGACACGGAAAGAGGGTAGAACTACGGAGTGGTAATGGGCTGACAGAATGTGAGATAGTGTGTGTGTGTGTGTATACATGGAGAGCAGGGAGAAGGGAAGGGAACCCAGGCTATGCTGGCCTGCCTCTCTAGGTACATGTTTATGTAGATGCTGTGTTTTATTTCCTCTACCTCCCTCACTGGGAGAGCAGTATGAGTTCATTAGCTCTGAGGCAACTACAGATCAAATAGTCTGACTTACCACTGAATTTATTTGTCACGTAAATCAGATTCTGTCTATACTCTGACCTTGAGGAAAGTGCTTGGGTTGAGGGATTTTTCATACGAACTAGATTTTGAAGGATGGTCCTGAGACCATGGCTTCTTCTCCACAGCCTCTGGCCCCACCATATCTGGATTGAAATCTCCCTTCCTCCTCTTGGATGTTTTTTCTCGGCCGTGGTGTATGCAGGGTGGGGTGGAAAGAGGTGTGGTGTATTGAAAGTGGTTCTCCAGGGCCAGCTGTTCGGGGAGATAGGGCAGTGCGAGGGGCGGGCGGCCTTTAAGCTCTAGGCTAGTGAGTCTCAGAGCTGGAACTCTGGTCTGTAGTGGTGGCCATTTGAGCCATGCCCTAAAGCACCGCCCCTAGTAATAGTTACACCTGCCTATGAGCTTGAGGTACATGCCCCTGGGTGGCGGGGACCCTTAAGACCTGAGATGCACGTATGCAGTTTTCTCTTGGCTCTCCTGAGTTCAGTTCCCAGCAACCACATGGTGGCTCACAACTACCTATAATGAGACTGGTCCAAGGATGGGGCGATGTTCTTGGATCTCCTCTTTCAAGAGACAAGGATATTGTGACATGGGGGCTGGTATTCCCTCCTCCTGGCTCATAGCCTGCTTCCCTGAGTCCCTCGGTGGTTTTCTTGCCCTCAAAGGTGATTCTGTCTTCTCCTCATAGGTTTCTTTGTATTTGTGGTGAGCCCCTGGTTATTGACAGTGATCAAGTGATGCTCATCCAGGGATCTGCAACAGATGTGCTGGTACCTTCCTGTGTGCAGGGGATTGCTACCGCTACTGCTGTTCTACAGGTGTAAACAGCTGAGAAAGCAAGCAGAAGGGCTTCCAACTCAAGTTCTAGAGAGTTCCAACGTCCTAAGAGATATTAATAGGAGGGCTACGAAGTGCTCCATTGTCAAGTACACTTGGGAAGTAAGGCTAGGGCCAGACCTGTTTCTTCATCATAAGACTTCCCAGGACAGTCATATGGGAGTGATCAGCAGTGTCCTTGGTGTTGCCAGAACATGGTCACACATGTCAAAGACTTCCATTCTAGCGGTGAGGGTTGGTTACGATATTTTTAGATGGGGAGCATGGGTTTAAGGTTCAATGTTGAGGACCTCAGTATAGGTTCATCATCAAAGCCCTGAAAAATGACTGTGGTCCTTTAAGGTGACCTGGGCTGGAACTCTCAAAGGAAGAGAAGATCGTGAGGGTTGTTCATGAGGTTCTTCTGGGGGTGTTTGGAGAAGTGGGCTCGTTGGGTATAGAGGCCAGAAAGGGTGACCAGAGGGCACCTGAGTCCTGGTCAGAAGACAGAGGACATGGAGCCAGACAAGACAACCTGAGGAGGTGTGGCAGCCATTTAGGGATACGCCCAAGTCTCACATGACTAGAAACTTCTTTCAGAAACCTGATTTTCTCGTACTCTGAGCACATTAAAAAGTAATTCAGACAAGTTCATTTTGAGTTAAGGGAACGAAAACAAGATGTGCTGCCTCTCCCTGAACTAGAGAGAAATGGCTTGAAGGACAGGAGCCTCCAGGGAAGTAGGGACCTGGCCAGGCCCTCTTTATTCAGCTGCTCACCTGAAAAGCCTTTCCAGAGCTCCTGCCACACTCTGGCTGACTTTGCTTTCCGTTTTTTTTTTGTTTTTTTTTTTAACCAGAAAAGTGGCTTCCTCCCTCGCTACCACCTCTGGGGCCACATCCTGCTTCCGTTAACCTCCTCTGTCTCTGAGCCTCTGCTACCTCCTCAGAGCAGGGCTGGCTTCCCCCTCTTCGGCAGGATTTAGAATGTTAGAACTGGGAGGGAGTGGAAGGATTGTCCAATCGACCTTTCCATCTAATTGGTGGGTAAACTGAGGCAGAGAATATGGTCTTTTTAAAGCACCCATTGAGTAGGCAGTAGCTGAGCTGCTCCTGGCCCTGGTGCAGCCCGGCCTGGCTGGAACTTTGCCTGCTGCTGCTGCTCTGACATTTGAGGCATAAGACTCGAAGGGACTGTGAAGTCCCTTGATCGTATCGGATGAACAGCCGAGAACAAAAACAATCTTTGTTCTTGACTTCAGTTTGTCAGAGACAAGAGTGCAGCATCTTGGTGTGATCAAGACTCATGAGCAGGGAGGGAAGTCATTAGACATGGGGCCCAACATTGTGCTTGTATCTGAAAGGTGTTTAGAAGGAAGAGAACCCTTTTCATGAAAAATAATACTGCATTTTGAGTGTTTATTTTTTCATGTGTGTGGGTGTTTTGCCTGTATGTGTCTCTGTGCACCTCTTGGGTGCCTGGTGCCTGAGAAGGCCAGAAAAGGGCATTAGATCCCTAGACTTGTAGTGACAGATTGTTGTGAGTTGCTAGGTAGATGCTGGGAATCGAACCCATGTCCTCTGGAAAAAGCAGCTAACTCTTAACTGATGAGCCATCGCTTTAGTGCCTGTCCTCTAACCCCCCACCCCCTTTTTTTTCTTTTGAAGATAGAGTCTCATGTATTTCAGATTTCAGACTGACCTCACTCAGAATGTAGCTGAGGGTGGATGACCTTGAATTTCTGACCCCCTTGTTCCTACCTCCAGAGTGCGGGATCACTGGTGTACCACTGACTGGTGTGCCACCGACACAGTGCCTTGGGGTGGGGTGGGGCGGGGCTTGGTGAGGTTTGTTTTCTCTGCCAGCTAAAGCATTAAAAAGCAGGGAAAAAAGCTGGGCAGTGGTGGAGCACGCCTTTAAGCTCAGCACTTGGGAGGCAGAGGCAGGCGGATCTCTGTGAGTTCGAGGCCAGCCTGGTCTACAGAGCAAGAGCCAGGACGGGCACCAAAACTATACAGAGAAACCCTGTCTCAAAACAACAACAACAAAAAAAGCAGGAAAAATCTTTGAGCGCAACAAGAGCAGCAGAGAAATCTCAACAAACAGGAGCAGACAGAATTAGCAGTTGAAAACATGCTGATTACTGGGGGGTGAGGAAACACACACGTGTTATAGACACACAGAGAAAAAGATCCTCTGTGAAGCAAAGGCTGAAAAATCCAGTCTCTTCTCGGGGCTGGGTTGTTATTTTGTTTTTGTTTGTTTCTAAGACTGCAGAGTTTTCCCGCCCCTACTTTAGCGCTGGTCAGTTTGAAGAAAGATTGGAGGGCTGATTGGCCCACAACTGTTGTGTATTATGTCCTGATGCAGCCTTGAACTTGCTGAGCCCCTGTCCATCAGCAGGGGGCCTGCAGGGAGACAGAAGCCTACAAGGCCTTTGTTTTAAGCTGCCAGGTTTTTGTCTCAAGTCAGGAGACTGAGGAACTTCACCACCTTTATTATCTAACCATGGCTGGTCTGCCTGTCTGTCTGTCTGCCTGCCAGGGAGTCTGTCCAACGCCTAGTCTTTCACCACTGTGTCTAATTTATGTGGTGCTGGGGATTGGACACGGGGCTTCATGCCTTCTGGACAAGCACCCTACCAACTAAGCTACATCTTTCCTGGCTTGATAGTTGGCCAGTAGACTCCTGTGAAGCAGAGGTCTGGTCCTGTTAACCCACCACACTGTTTGGGAGGAGCCAGGGTCGTCAGTGCACTTGACTGGATACACACACTCACACCTACACCTACACACACACACTGGATACACACACTCACACCTACACACACACACACTGGATACACACACTCACACCTACACCTACACACACACACACTTTTCCCTGCCTTCGATCAATTCCTAGATTGGAAACTGGCCTGTTTTCTTATGTAGATCTGCAACATCTGGTTCTTGGGGAGATTCACAAGGGCGGGGGGCGGGGGGGGGGTACTGTAGACTGGCAGGCGTCTGGTTCAGTGAGCACACCTCGTAATGACTGTGGCTTCCTTCCTTGAAGGTGCCGACTCACTGTACCGGGACAGCCTCAGCTTCAGCGATGAGAAACTGAATTCGCCAACGGACTCCACTCCGGCTCCGCTGACTTCCTCTGTCACTCCTCGCAAAGGTGAGCTCACCAACTGGACTCTTATCCCCGCCCACCCCCGCCGTTATCCTCCACCAAGTTTTCACAGAGTACAAAGCAAACAGATAAGATAAATAGTTCTGGGCGACCGACGGAGTGCATTGTTTATGGCATTTGGGCCACGTGTAGATTCCCTCTTGTGGCCGAGAGGAGTGCTTCTTATTTGCCTGACGGACCAGCTTGGCTTCCTAATGTAAAACTCGGCAGTCTGGCTTTGTAGCAATGAGAAGATTTTTTTTTTTTAAATTTCATTAACTGTTTACAGCAGTGCTTCATTAACTCATTCAGCAGCTGTCATTATGAGACAAGAATGATCTAACCTGGGGCCATGAGATGGCTTCAGTGGGTAAGGGTGCTTGCTGCCAAGCCTGCCGAGGAGCTGAGTGTGATCTCTGGAACCTACTTGGTAGACGTCCTCTGATCTCCACATGGGCACATATGTTCATACATACATACGTACACGCATACCAAATAATGAATGAATGAATGTTTTAAAAAACTAAAATGGACACGATTCAAAACAACAGCCCCACCCTGTCTCTGCTGCAGTATTAACAGACTAAAGAGGGTTTAAAGGGCCATGAATTGGTCCTTAGTTTTTGGAATTGGCCAAGTCTCCCCAGCTAGAGATCTGAATGTTCTGTTATATTGGACAGGCGCCCTTTTGAGAACAAAAGGAGGTCCCCCCTCCAAGGAAAATTGAACTTGCTGAGAATATTCACAAAATGCAATAAAAATGGAACCAACTTTAAAAGAAATACGACGATCCCATCGCCTGTCTCCACCTGGCATGCAAACAGAACTTCCCTCGCTCTTGAAAGAGATATTTTTAAATTCTCTTCTCAACACAAATGTTAGCAGCCACGGGGGATTCGGCCATTGTCCAGCCTCCAATCTGTAAGGGATCTGTGGACTCCAGGGATAGAACAGTCTAGAGAGTGACTTAAATAGTGCCCAGATCTGCTACCTAATCCTCCAGAAGTGGGAATTACAGAAGGGAGGGACAAAAAAAAAGCCACTGTGGCGAGTGGACCTGAAAACTAAGAACAATGAACCATTTGTGGCCAGTGAAGGAAAATATTCAGCAATGCATTTCAAGGAAGGCATGAATGACGGACAAACTATACAGAAGAGGAAAGCATATACCTCTGGCCACAGAGACAGCAATGTCTAGATGAAAGGTCTGTGCGCCTCTGAGATGGGCCCTCAGGTTCCCTGTTCCACCTGACATGAAATAGTAGTTACACTCTTGTCACATTGGAGGGCCACTGTATTGTCCTCCACAAGCGGCGAAAGCGCCTTCCTCTCACTGTCTCCCAGACTTTTAAGACACTGAAGAGATCCATCTTCCGGGCTAGGAAGGTGGCTCAGGGTGGTAGTGAGCTACAGGGCAAACTGAGGCTAGCCTCCAGTTGGAGACACTAAGGACTGGTGCGGGGTGTGCGTGCGTGCGTGCGTGCGTGCGTGCGTGCGTGTGTGTGTGCGTGCTCCGTGAGATCTCTGAAGACAACAGGTTTCCGTAATCTGGAAACCCCATCATCCCAGGAAAAATCCTCCATCAGCTGTGTCTGGAAGGGAAACTGAACTCTTTTTCTATTTTGCAGCCAAATTAGGTGACACCAAAGAGCTGGAAGACTTCATTGCCGATCTCGACAGAACATTAGCAAGTGAGTACATGCTTGGTGTTTAAAACATCACTCGGAATACTGAGCCACGCCTTTGATAATGTGCTGTGATGTTTCCCAGCTTGCCTGGGGGTGGGGGGGTAGTTACATCACAAGCTTCTCTAGGTGTAGAAACAGGACCTTGGTGGCCCAGAAAACAGCTTGGAGGATAAGCTTGCAGGAGAGTAACTGGAGTTGCTTTCCTAACTGTGCACACAGGTCAGCAGCAGACAGTGGCATGTTGTTTAGAAAAGAGAGAGGAGGAGAGAGAGAGGAGGAGAGAGAGAGAGAGAGAGAGAGAGAGAGAGAGAGAGAGAGAGAGAGAGAGAGAGAGAGAGAGAGAGAGAGAGAGCCAATTTGTCATACAGCATTCCTCCAGCAAGCCATAGGGGTCGTGCACTCGGGTAATTCCCCAAGTTTGAAGCAGGATGCAAGGTCCTGGTGAGATTTTTGTGAGTGTTGAGTGCCAAACAAAAGTAGGCTGGGATACCCGTGCCAACTGGCCAGTGACCCAGATTCAGCGTGCTTCTAATCTGGGATCACACTGTTGGTTCTCCATCTCGTGTGGCCCCAAACTGAAGACATCAGGTCAAAACTGCAGCACACACCGGGTGGGGGTCGAGGGGTGTTAGCGGAAAGAACTGTCACGCTCTCATCTGTGGGCTCCTCTTCAAAAGGACGAGATTGCAGGAGGCAGCAGGCTCAGTCCCAGCTTGCAGGGATGCTGGCCTCAGCATCTCTCCTCACTTGGGGGACTTGCTAAGCCTTGGAGAACTTTTTATTCAGGCTTCATAATTATTTAGTGAAAGTGATCATTTTTCTGTAAGTACTCCTCTATGTTTGATTCTGCCAGATAGATAAAACTCTAAACATTTAGACCTAAAAGTTAAACAGTCTATTTAAAATAGCCACGGTTTTTTTTAAATCACTCTCCCACTTTGTATTTGCTGGATGGTTTTACTGCCCCCTTTGCTTCCCTGCTGCACCATCCTGCATCAGAAGACAGACCTAGGCCTGTTTCGACAGATTACTCTAATTGCAGCACAGTTGGTATTAGGCCCGCGCAGCAAGCCTGCCTACTTCGTGCCGATTGCGCTGGCCTCCCAGTCAGTCCAGTTAGCCAGACGTGCATTGCACGGGAAGCCTGCTAGCTATTGACTTGGCTCTTGGTGCCCGTCTACGGCCACGTGCTGTGGATAAGCACGGGGATTGTGTGTGAGTGTCTGGCAGGGCTAACCAACCCTCTCTCTCCTTTACAGGTATGTGAAGGGAGCGAGGGGTTCGGGGTCCTTAGGCCACAAGAGTGAAACTCCCGAAGACTCTGAGGACCTGGCAAAATCAGCTCCTGGGATCTGCTGTAGGAGGGGACAGAGCCAAGGCCCCCCCTCCGTGGCCGTCCTCGGCTCACCCTAACATTTGCCGTTGGGCCCATCTCTGGGCAACTCAGACAGTAGAATTGACTTGTTTACCTGCCTGCAGCATATTTCAACAGATGATCTATCTAATGTGTTTTTACTCCTCAAACATAGCTCTTCTATAATTTAAGATGCGTTTATGGAAGTATTTGTAATTACTTATATATAGTTGGAGACCGTAATAAGCTTTTCCCATCATAATATATTTTTGTATACAAATAAAGTTTAAACTGGAATCTACTCTGAAAGCTCTCTTATTACTGCCAATAGATTTCCATTCAATAGTTTTCTAGCAGGAATGACGGGCCTCTGGATTCCCAGTGAGAATACCGTGTGTTGTGGTTATACTCACTTGAGGGTGGCCAGCGTCCTGAAGCTTCCTCTGCACTCTAATCCTTACATTCTCAAAACCTTTTCGTTGTGGGCTGAACAGATGCCTCCGTGGTTAAGAGCAATCGATGCTCTCTTCTAGAGGATTTGGGTTCAATGCCCAGCACCTACATGGCAACCACATTTGTCCTAAACTCCAGGGCCAGGGGATATGACGCCCTCTTCTGGCTTCCTCTGGCACTGCATGCATGTGGTGCACAAACACACATTCAGGCAAACATTCATACATATAAAAGAAAAATAAAATTTCAAAAAAATTCAAAAACTTCCCCCCCTTGGGGCTGAGAGATGGCTCAGCAGTTAAGAGCACTGGTTGCATTTCTGGAGGACCCAGTTGGATTCCCAGCTCCCATAAAGTTGCTCACAACTATCTGTAACTCTAGTTACAGGGAATCTAATGACACCCTCTGACCGCCTCAGGCACCAGACATGTACCTAGTGCCCAGACATACATGCAGGAAAAGCCCTCAAACACATAAAATAAAACTAAACAAATCATTAAAAAACAAAACAAAAACCTCAGACTTCATTTTTTCTTTGATTGTTTGGTAGTTTCATACACACACACACACACACACTGAATTTTAGTCATTTTCACACACACCCCAGTTCATCATTCCTTTCCTCTCCTGCTGGGCCTTCTCAGCAAGACGCCCCCCTTAACCTCACAGCTTCTTCTTGTGTGTGGCCCAGAGTTTGGTCAGAGTTTCTTGCCTGAGCGTGGGTGGGAGGTTGTTTATTCCAGAAAGGGGGCAACTTCTCAGCGGCTGCTCCACTGAGGAGAACGCAGAGCGTCAAACAGTTCGTCAACCTGTGCGTCGTCCTCATCTGGGCCGTGCTGAGCGGCTTGGTCCAGTCTTGACGGATGTGCTGCTGACGTCCCTGCATTCTTAAAGGCCGTCTCCCCCAAGCACAGGTGTGCTGGTTGGTTTCGTAAACTTGAGTAGACGAGCGTTACCTGGGAGAGGGCACCTCAGCTGAGGAATTGCCTCCATCAGGTTGGCCTGTGGGCACACCTTTGGAGCATTGACTTGATTAACGATTGATGTGGCGGGGCTGGACCCATTCTGGGCAGTGCGACCACTGAGCACTGGGTGGTCCTGGGAGATATAAAAAAGCAAACTGAGGGCTGGAGAGTTGACTCAGTGGTTAAGAGCACTTGTTGTTCTTGGGAAGGACCTGGGTTCGATTTCCAGCACCCACATGGAGGTTTACCACTTCCTCAGGTGCCAGGCACACACGTGGTGCTCAGACATACATGCAAGCAAAGCACTTGTATGAATTAAAAACCTAAAAAACATTTAAAGGAAAGAAAGAAAGAAAGAACGAACTGAGGAAGCCATGGAAGGTAAGCCAATAACACCATTCCTCCATGGTTCCTGCCTCTGCTCCTGCTAGAGTTCCTGCTTCGAGTTTCCTTAGTAGTCAGAACACGAAAGCCACATAAATGAAAGCCACCACCACCACCACCACCCCGCCCCCGCACCATAACAACCTGCTTTTGGTTACAACTTTCCTGCAGCAACAGAAAAGCAGGTAGGCCCACGAGTACAGTCACATGGGTTCCTGTGGGTGACAGATCACATTTGATGGCAGTCTCACGGACTCTAACAGAGTTCCAGCACTTCCAGAGGTCACAGCCATCCTGGTGTTGTAGTGGGACACATTAGGTGTTTGTGCTGACACTGGTGTGAACAACCTACTGTGCTTCAGGTCACATGTCGGACGGCCCATGACGGTTGTGTTCAGTCATAAGACTTGATAGTGACAGGAAACAGTCTCACTACTTACTGGCTCCTGCGTTTCTTACGCTCTTCACTGGTAGAGATCCTAGGTTTTCGGTATTAAAGATTTCGTGTACAGTTGCTGCACATGTCCCGTCCGGTTGTATGAAGAGGCTCCACTTGATCAACACATGCTGCCCAGGTTTGTGCTGCGTCCTTTCTCTGATGCCCCTAGAGTGGTAAACATCACTTAGCAATGCATGTTTGATCTACTTTAGGGCAATGTGAAAAGATACCTTATGTTTTCCTCAAGCTTCTAGGAAAGCTTTGTGCTCAGTGCAAACATCCTCTCTCTCTCTTTTAATTTAAACAGCTTTATTTTTATGTGTGTATGATAGGCACACACGTGCCTTGGTGCATGTGTGGAGGACCGAAAACGTCTTCGTGAGGTAGTTCTCTCCCTTGACCTTTGCATGGGCTCCAGGAACTGAATTCAAGTCACCAGGGTGTCCGGTGACTGCCTTTACTGGCTGAACCATCTTACTGGCCTCTCTCTCTCTTTTAAAAAAATTGAGATATGATTCGCATGCTCAGACTGTAGTTGTGTGGCTTTTAGCCTATCCACAGATATTACAACCACCATTGCTGTTAATGCTCTGTGTGACTCTCTATTCTAGACACATGCAATGTAATGACACACAGTGCTCTTCTGTAACTTAGCATGTTTTCAAGGTTAATCCACATAGCCTCCCTTCTAATAGCAAAATACTATCCCACCGTGGGGCTATGCCACATTCTGTTTATACAACCATGAGTTAGTTGGTTAATGGGTGGCATTTGGGTTTGTACTTCTGAGCTAATGAGTAATGCTCTCACTAGAAACCACGTGCAAGTATTTGTGTGGGTGTCTGTTTTAGTTTCTCTTGGGTGTAGAGGCAGGACTAGGACTCCCAGGTCAGCTCAAGCTCTGTGATCAACTTTTTGAGGAGCTATTGAATGTTGTGAAAGCAGCCGTGAATGTGTCCCTTTGAGTTCCCAGCTGCAGTGGAGGCCTCCCCGTTCCGTGTGTCCTCACGGGGGTCTGTCTCTATTTGAAGAGTGGTCCCCCGGGTGTGGAGCACGGTCTCCCTGTAGCTTGTCTTGCAGTTCCTGTGTAACAAATGACATCTCCTGATGTGCTTACTGGCTTCTGCCTGCAGTGTGAGCTGCAGGAAGCCACCACGGACTCTGGTGACAGGTTCCTTATCAGATATGTGGTTTGAAAAATGGTCTCTCTCTTGTGGGCTTGTTGTACAGGACTGTCCTCAAAGCCGAACTGCCACCATTTCCAGGAGTTCATCTGGGCTTGCTCACAAGATGTCCTCACAGCTGGGCCTGCTGACTTCTTACCTTCCCTCCTGGAAAGGGGTCAGAGAGGATCATGGGACCCTCCTGGAATCCGGCCACCCCGCCCAACCAGCTGTAGCAATTCAGTCCTAATTGCAGATGACCTTAGGGTACTGGGGGAGGGCTGGAGGATATCAGTGTAGAAGGATGAAGGGTGGAGACTTCATCTACATAGCTAGGGGGAAGCTATTGTCCTTGCTGGGTGCAGAGCTCCAGTACAGCTGCCTCAAGGTCACCTACCTCCTTCCTGTTACCTCCCACCTATTGCTCTGTAATGAGTCCAATAAACTCATCAGTTATCCCAGGTAAACCATGGTAGAACCAGCTTTATTGCACCTAGGATTGTTGTTGGGGCCTTAGGAAGAGGGGTAGATAGACCTTGTTTACATCATTCTAGGGAAGGACTTTCAGAAACAGAGCTTATTTTCACTTTCTGTCCTTGAAGCATGAAAGTTTTAATTTTGTTGAAATCCAATATATTTTTTTTTCTTCTAAGAAAAAACTTTTTTTTCATGGTGGTATATCTAAGAAACCTCAGTCAGAGGTTTCTCAACCTCAACATTCACTCCTGTTCTTTCTTTTACTAATTTCACAGTTTTTAGCTCAGCATAGTGGTTCACCACTGTAATCAATCTGAGTTCAAGGCCAGCCTGGTCTATACAGATGAGTCCAAGGGCTACACAGTAAGGCTTTGTCTTAACAGAACAAAACAAAACAAAAATCAGGGCATGGTGGCATGCTTATAATTCCAGAGCAGGGCAAGTGGAGACAGGCGGCTCCTTGGGGTTCGGGTACCAGTCAGTTAATCCCACTTGGCACATTCCAGGCCACCGAGAGATGTTGGTTCCAAAACATAGGTGGGTGGGGCTGGTGCTTGGGCCCAGATGTAGGTGTTTGCCTTGCTAGCATGATGTTCTAGGCTCAATCCTCAGTACTGAAAAAGCAAAGCAAAAAAAAAAAAAAAAAAAAAAGCAAGCGGCACCTGAGAAATCCTTGAGATTGTCCTCTGCCATCTACGTGCACAGATGTGCACACACACACACACCCTCATGTTCTCACACACACACTAGACAACATAAGTTGTAATTTCAGCTTTTGCATTTAGTCTGTGATGTACTTGGAGTTAAGTTGCACAAAATTAGTCCCCACATCATTCTTTCGCCCTAGACCAGCCACTTGTCACAACACTACCTCTTAGAAGACATTTCCCTCTGTTGAGTCACATTGGTGCCGCTGTGGAACAGCGACTGTAAATGGATGGACTCTCTCTTGCTCATGTGTTTACACAGTCTCACTATACACCCCAGGCTGTTGTAGAACTTGCAATGTAGCTCAGCTTTTGTGCTCAAATTCATGAACCTCCTGGCTCTGTCTTCTCAGGGCTGGTATTCCTGGTGTGCACTATGCCAGCCTGAGTGTTTTCTGTCTTAACAACTGATCTTAGGCATGGGATACCTTTCCATTGATAAGGAGCTGTTTAAATTTTTTTTTTTTTTTTTGAGACAGGGTTTCTCTGTGTAGCTTTGCGCCTTTTCCTGGATCTCGCTCTGTAGACCAGGCTGGCCTCGAACTCACAAAGATCCACCTGCCTCTGCCTCCTGAGTGCTGGGATTAAAGGCATGCGCCACCACCGCCCAGCTGTTTAAATTATTTTAAAGTTACAAAGAACAGGTTTATTTTGCCTCTTTAATTTCTCTCAATTATATCTTGAAGTTTTTATGGCATAAACTTTGCATCCTT